GTGTGTGTGTGTGTGTGTGTGTGTGTGTGTGTAGGTATTTGTCTGACAGAGTCCCTGGCCATGCTGCCTGCTGCCTCCGTGTCTGGACTTTACTTCTCCAACCCTCAGGCCACATACTTTGCTGTGGGGAAGATCACCAAGGAGCAGGTTAGACTGCCCATCCACATCTTTACCTCATATAGTCACTTTATAACATTTGAATGAGACCCCTTTCAGAAAGTTGGATGCACACTGATAGACCTGCATCACAACTGGATAACGGTCATCTTACTATTTGTTAGCAGAACTACGGAAATTAATCACAGACTATTTAAAACAAATGAAATGCAATAGAAGCATGGAGGACAGACCAAAAAGATAACAATTAGATAAAAAGCTCACTAATGGATAACTACCTCCTGTAAAAGAGGTGATTGACACTAGCTAAACATAAGGATACAAGCCACCAGGGAGGAAGAATGCATTGACCGGGGGTAGAAAATTATAGAGAAGAGGTTTGTTTCTGATTGAGCCGTTTCTGGGAGACACCAACGGCTTTATTCTACATTCACATACACAGTATTACCCCCCATAAATCCGGCCTTTATTTCCCTCCAGATGGAACCGTGTGAATTATGATAAATACCCTTGTGTGACTTAAAATTCCAAGAAAGAAGTGAGCTTATCAGGTCACTGAATCGTGAGCTGGTTAAGTTGCATTGTGGGTAAAGTCGATGTCAGGTTTTAACAAGGAAGAAGAATGCGTGGGCAAAAAAAGATAATATTATCTCTGGTTCTGCTTTATCCATTCCTTTATAGCCTAACAATGTCATAGGAATGCTAAATCACTCGAGTCATATTTTAAGTAACTGTTGAGACTCACCTTATAAATATAAAAAAACAATAGAAGGATCCTAACTTGGATTTTATCACTAATATTTTGATGAAGGATTTGTAACAGAGGGGAATCTAAACACCTCACTTGTGTTTCAGAACCGGGTTTATTGCTAAGTAAGTTTACACAAAAATGAGTGTGTAAAAAAAGCATTAAAAAAAATGAATAAAAAACAAACAAACAAGTAAAGTAAATTTGACAAGTAATATAAATATACAAAAAAGGAAACACAATAAGAATATGACAACTTACTCTGAAATAAGTGCAGTATAATAGAATTGAATTTTTTAAATAATGAGCATTAAGCAGAAATGTGAACATACACGGAGGAGTGTGGAAGTTTCACAGTGTGAAAATGCTCTTTTGCAGGTGGAGGACTACGTCAGGAGGAAAGAGCTGAGTGTGGAGGAGGTGGAGAGATGGCTGGCTCCAGTGCTGGGGTATGACAATGAGGCATAGAGAGGGAGCACTGCAGTAAACTGGACCACTGAGGGATCAGAGCAGGGTGCAACATAATCACACACACAAACACACTCACAGGGTCCAACTTCTCACTGTGGCCCTCAAACAGGGATTCACTGACATCAGCAGTATATTTCTTATTTTAAAACACTCTAGGTTTTATAATTGTACTCAACATTTGTACGCAACATTTCAGAACCAGTGTGTTTTTATATTTCTCTAACGGGTTATGACAAGCTTACTTTTGTTAAACACTACGCTATTGGCAAGAAAAATCTACAAGAGATTGTACAGTGCAATCAGAGAGATACAGTATGTCCACGTTTTTGAGCAAGTCCATGTAATGTAAGCTCATGTAAGCCATTATACTTTCTTAGCAACTATTCATGGTTTGAATATAATATAATAGAATTCCTTTATTGTCATCGTATCAGGTACAACGAAATTTAAAAAGCAGCAATCCTCGCAGTGCATTTCCACATAAAACGAATAAATATATATCTATATAAACATATACACACATAAACATATGCTCACACATCCATACCAACATGCATACATGCACGCACATAATTTAAATACAGTTTGCAATATAAAAAACACAGGGATGATATTTTGCATCTCTGATGTCGATCAATTAATAAGTTAATAAACTATTAAAAAGTAGTGCAGTTGCAAATTGTAACTATGTGAGTTCAGCGTTTGACGGTGTTCAGTTCTCGTACTGCTCTGGGGTAGAAACAGTTTTTCAGTTGGTTTGTCCTTGATTTAATTGACCTGTAGCGTCTACCGGAGGGCAGAAGAGCAAACAGGAAATCTCCAGGGTGTGAAGAGTCTGCAATTATTTTGCCTGCTCTGTTGAGGCAACGTTGGCTGAAGAGTTCCTCCAGAGAAGGCAGTGAGCAGCCGATGACCTTCTGGGCTGTGTTGATGACCCTCTGAAGGGATTTCCTGTCCTTTTCTGAGCAGCTGGCACACCACTCGTTTAGGCAATATGCCTTGGGTCATAATAACTTTATTTTGCCCACTCTGAACTGTTATACAACCCTGTTTTTGTATCTGTTGACTAATGTCAATACATCAGTGTTTATGGTTATTTTAATAAGGGAGGAAAATTTCATCCTTTTAGAAAATGTGTTAATTTCCTTTCTCTCTGTGTATGTGTTTGGTAATGATTCCTGTTTGGTCAGTATGTGGTTAGCCTAGCTTAGTATAAAGACTGGAAGTAGAGAGAAACAGCAGTCTTTATACTAAGTCTTTCTAACCCACTCTAAAAGAAATGTAACACTGTTGAACTAGTTCAAATGTTTTAATGAAACAAGACTCAGGATCTGTTTTTACTTGAATTGGCAACAGTCAATATGTATTTCTTATTACAGTTCTAACCTTGGAGGTACTGAACAATGTATTTGCACTTAAAAGGTATTATGGCAAACAGTGAACAATATAATAAACCCGGCTGCCAATGTTATAATCTTTATTTCAAACCAAATCAATTCAAACTAATTCATCACACTACAAACCCTGGACATCTGTGGTTTCATTTTTTTTTTACTAATTTCAATTATTTTCAATGTGTATATGGAAGGGAAAGTTAGATGTTTACAAACAGATACATCTATTTATTTCAGTTCATTTAAAAACATTTTAAATCCTTATTTTAATGTTCTTTTGCAGTTTTTTTAAATCAACATTTGCATGGAGGTTCTTATTTGTTTATTACTCAAGTGCCAAAGTGGTCAAGTTTATATTATATGGTGCATTTAAAAAACAAAGGATTCTTGATAAAGTATAAAAAACATAATAATATATAAGAGGAGTCTTCCGAAAAGGTTGTCTTCTTACTTCAAAAATGACTATAAGTGAGAGACTCAATGAATACGTGTTATTAAGATAAAGTCTCATTTGATTAATTTTCTAATGATTTTTTCCTTTGTTAATAGTTCTGTTGATAATTGTATCCACCAAAATTGTCGCAGTACATTTCAGCCTCCAGACATCTGAACGTACGACAAGCACCCAATGATTTCAAGCTTCTATCATACGCTTATTTCCCAGTGAGACAGTATCCTGTGTAACTCGAATAAGATTTTGTGTATTATTTGAATCTGGTTAGTTCATCTCATTTCATTTCAAACCTTTATTTAACCAGATTGGTCCCATTGAGATCATAGATCTCTTTTTCAAGGGAGACCTGCTTCTTCCACATGAAACATAAAATAATAAAGGACATTATATTTACAGGATACATTTACAAGTGCCCATAGTATCAACGAGCATTTCATTTAGCCTAGCTTTAAAAACATGCAGAGGAAGGAGATTGCTCAGTTTCAACTCTTGATGAAGATTGTTCCAAGCAAGTGGAGCTGCGCACATAAAAGCTCTCTTACCTAAGACAGTCCTTGCTCTTGGCACATCTAACAATAGTACATCATGAGATCTCAGACAATAGCTGCTTGCTACTCTCTGTGTTATCAGAGAGCAGATATAATACGGGAGTTTACCCAACAAAGCTTTATAAATAAACGTGTACCAATGACTGAGCCTCTTTACAGTAAGTGATGGCAAACCTGCCTTGGCATACAGGGTACAGTGATGAGTAAGTGCTTTACAATTAGTGACAAATCTCAGTGCGCTGTGATAGGCGGCATCTAACTTGTTCAGGCAATAAGCAGGTGCATTCATAGAACTGCTGATTGTCAATTCATAATGTTATTTCTGAGGGATTGTTAAAGCCTTGTCCAGGTTTTATGAATGCCTATCTTCCAAGTGTTACTGAGGTGATATATACTACACAAAGATCTGTAAGACACATTTTATTACGAAGTATGCATATTCATCTATTTTGCAAGCATTAAATAACACATTTTATCTACACAGTGCTTTGAACAAATCAGTAGTGACAACTTAATAATACAAATGAAGTATTGTAAATGATTATTCAACGCAGGAAAATCCACTGTACCAGCATGTAGGGTTTAAACACTTTAACAAACTTGAATGTATATTTTTTCTGACTTGATAAGAAACAAAAAAACAGTTTGCTGCAAATGTATGGCTGTGATGACAACACAAATAATAATTGTTTACAATCAGAGATATATATTTTTATGTTTTTTCATCAAATGTAAAAGCATGATTTAAAAAAGTAAAGAAAAAAAGGATGCTTTAAACTAAATTGTTAAGATTAAACTCTCCTCTTGAAAATATAAGATAATAAGATTAGATAGATTATTGGTAATTACAGTGAAGGGTTAATTTAGTATGGGATAACCCTTGGATGTTTTTATCAAATGTTATTTAATTCCAGTTTTGCCAACAACAAATACAGCATTTCAGACTTTGAGGTATATTTAGTTCTCTCACAACATCCACATACTGTTGACATGTTACCAGGTATTATCAGTGTTATACTGTTAATGGACTTTACAACATTCTCATTCCATGATCCGAAAAAGTCTCTGGATATACCAAAATGTTGGGTTCAATTTGAAATGGTGTTTATATTAGATGCTAGCTTAGTGCATTTCACATGTGTCTTAAAAGCCCTGATGTGCTGCAGTGGCTGATCTTAGTTTGAATGAAACTATTTTTTAACAAGTTTGATTTTCTTACATTGTTAACAAGAGTTGTTGATACATGATGATTACATTGCAAACACTGTAAAACAGGAGCAATAGAACGGTGTTTTTCGTTGAGAATAAATCACTGCAACACTGTTTTGTCTTTCTCTGAGTTTAAATCTTTGGTGTGAAGGAAAAACATATATTTAAATACATGTCATTTCTGGCCAAAAAAAGTGGATACATGTCTTTGGTGAAGCTTTCTGGTGGAGCTTTCTCAAGTCTGAAAAAGAAATTGACCCTAATGATGTCATAATGATATCATTTTAGATTGCGCTTTAATACAGGAAAACAAATTTGGGGCAAGGACTTTGAAATAAGTTGGTATACCATACAGCAATGGCCTAATACAATCAATTTGGTGAATTATGGGAAGTATAGGACAAAGGGACTAAATCCTAATCTGACACTTCCCACTCAGTGACAAATTGAAGTCTGTTTATAGTCAAACAGCTGAACGGCCACTTTTCTTTGTGCCAATGTAGATGTATAGTATACATACACTCATCTCTCAGGCACTAACGTCTTACCTTTTTTTTAAGCATGGTTAAAAAGTATTGTATTGGCATCTCTTGGATTAAAAGTCAAACTCAAAAGCCAAACCCCCTGCAGTCAACATGTCCATGAGTTGTTGGGCAAGATGCACAACCCCAAATAGCTCCTTCTACAGTATTGGACGGTATGTAAAATGCGATTAACGCGTTAGCTAAAGAACATGTAATAATCAGTGGCGTTTTCTCCCGGCCTGTTTTTTCAGACCTTTGTTATAATTGTAATTTTCTGCCTCGTTTAGTATGGTTGATTCTACTCTGTTGCAATCATAGACTGCAATATTTCCCCTTTTGTCAGAGTATTTTTATAACGAATGAAACGGCGCCCCTCTAAACATGAATTTGTGGTGAAACAGGGTATTGCACTCACTGTAGATTTATGCCACGGTCGAGAGTAGGCCAGAAGCAACTCGCTTCCCTTTAGTGAACACCTTTTGAGGAATGAACCAATCAGATGAGGACATGGTTTAGCCCCTGCCACCTTGTGATTAGTCAGGGTCATGCCAAGGTAATTCAGCCAGCCGACCTCTGGCTTCCCTTGGCATGACCCGACCAATCAAATCACATCAGCGCCATACTGACAACAACGCCGTTAGCAAGAAACAACTTAGCAAGTGCAGTTATGAAGAGTAGAGATTAGAGTTAGAAGAAAAAAAAAAGGTTTACTAAATGACCACTACATGGGTGGGTGTGTGTGACTGTGAGCCTGGCCCTGCCCCCTCCTCCCCCCTTCCTGCCATCTTATCACTAAACAGAGGGGGGGAGGGAATTTAAAAAACAGTTAGCTTACACTTGTATTTGTTCTCTCTAAAACACAGTGTCTGTAAAGATGGGGGAGACTGTCTCCCCCCCCCCTTCCTGCCATCTCTCTGTTTCTGCTGATGTGTAAAATATACAAAATAACGTTTTATATACTTACTCTCTTGTTAAAAGGTGATGAAGTTTGCAGCGTAAGCCAGCCATCAGTGTTCTAGTTTTAAGGTTTTGCATACCTCAAAGTGTGTCTAAAAGTATCTTGGCAAGAGAAAAAAAGCCAAAAATCCGCCTAGGCCATTAAAAAGAAACCGAATTCCATGTTTTACAAATGAACAGACACAAATGCAGACTTGACTACTTGGCAGTTGATTAAAGCAGATGTGTCCTTTTTCATCTCTCAAAGGTTTGGGTCCTGTTCAACACTGGGTACAGAAATATATTCAATATACAGTCATTTGTACGTAAAGATTTTTTAAGTTGTAAGCACTTAGAAATATACATTTGATTGCATTTAAAGTGGCT